AAGTGTTTATAAAGTCCAGTTAGGGAGCAGAGCTAAGTGTTTATAAAGTCCAGTGCGCTAGAAGAGCTAAGTGTTTATAAAGTCCAGTTAGGGAGCAGAGCTAAGTGTTTATAAAGTCCAGTGCGCTAGAAGAGCTAAGTGTTTATAAAGTCCAGTTAGGGAGCAGAGCTACCGTAAGTGTTTATAAAGTCCAGTTAGGGAGCAGAGCTGTTTATAAAGCAGGCTGGCTCCCTGAACAGCAAACCTCACGTCTTCATTTATAAACAGTAAAATTGGTTCATTAGTATTTAGTTTGCATGGTTTGGCTTTACTCTCCCTCTCATTTATAAACACTATCAATGCTTTATATAATGAATGTTAATATTTATAACTAATCATGGTGTTAGTTTAGCTGCAGTAGGAATATTTCTTACATTTCTGTTTTAAATTAAAAGATGATCTGCCTTTTCATTTCAAATTGTTCAAATATGTTGAAAACGTCTTTTTCTATCTATTTTTCTTCCTCCTATTTGACATCACTGGCCTGTGACGTTCCCCTCTTCGTCTTTCCACTCACCGTGACAGGTGGAAGACGTCCTAGGTTACTCCTCCTTCTTCACCGTCACATCTCCATCTCCAGCCAGGATGGTTGAGATCTCCCCCTGCATGAAGGCCCAAGGCACGTTGGATCCAGCCAGGGGGCAGCGCTCCCCACTCGGGCAATACACCTCCCCTCCTTGGCCCTGGCTGCGGATGAAAGCTCGGGTGCAGGGGAAACAGAACTTGTGGTGAGGAACAGAGGGACACTGGACGAAGTGTGTATCCTCCAGGCGCTCTCTGCAGAGGGTGCAGCACAGCAGGGTGCCCTGCGTGCTGCTAGTGCTTTCCCCAGTGTTGCTATTGCTGCTCGGCCCCCCAGCACTCATACCCTGTCCCATTGCTGCCTGCGAGGCTGAGGTGGAGGCGGTGGAGGGACTGCTGCTGGTGGAGCGGCCTGGTGCTGAGGAGTGGGCTGCAGACATGCCTGGGCTGTCTCTGGGCATCTGACTGGAGCTCAGACTGTCTGCGACCCCCATAAGAGCAGAGATGGGGGACGGCTGGCTGTGAAGACGAGGCGGACCTTCCTGAGGAGCAGCCATGCCAGGAACAGGATCTGCGTAGGCACCTCTGGGCCAAGACTCCCGGGCTGGGTGATCAGGTCTCCCGTCACTCTCTCCGTTCTCCGAGCCGGGGGAAGGCTTGCGGCGTCTGGTTGTGGTCTTTGCAGGACCTGGGCGACTAGCTGCTGCCAAAGAGAGCACCGGGTCCGGCTGCGGTAGCACCTCTGGGATGGGAGGCTCCTTAAACATCCGCACGCTGTCATTCAGTAGCTCCGCCAGCCCACGCCAGTCTCCGGTGCCGTGCCGCTTCTCATACTCCACATACCTCAGACCAGAGTTCACAGCTTTACCCGCATCTTTAGCCGAATCCCGGAACATCTGCCTGACCAGGTCTGGGATCCCTGAGAAGATGATCCCGGAGCCCACAGGATACTCAACAAAAACCTTCAGCTCGAAATCTGATGCTGTGCTGGCATCAAAAGCCAGAACCCGCCCCTGGAGGTTATGGTCCTTCCGGAAGCGGACACTGAATGGGATGGAGCTGCTCAGGGCCACCAGAACATCCCGGACGGACTTGGGTCGGTTGGGCCAGCCCTCCGCCCGGTTTCTGGCCACTTCGTTCAGTTCAACCATCACCTCATTGTTCCTCCACACTGCTGGATCTATACCCACCAGAGCAGAGGTGCTGGCACCCAGAGACACCCCCGGCCTCCTGCTGCCATCACCCATGAGGGGCCCTGCTGAGACTGTGATCGGGGTGCTGGCAGTCCGGGAACCTGATAAGGGCGCTAAGAGCGCGTGAGGAGCTGCCACCAAACCCTGAGCTATCAAGGCGTGAGATATGGTGCTATGGAGGCCGGGCACCGCACTGGCCACAGCCCGCCGGGTGTTCGGACTCTGTCGGCTTCCGTCGGACAGGCCCGCGTCCTCAGCCCGGTGCAGCCCGTTCGGGAGTCGAGCAGAAACCCCATATTCCGCCCTCCCCCTGTCTACGCGCTCACCATGCGGCCGCACCGCCTCGGCGGTCCCCACAGAGCCGGGTTTGCTCTGCTGGGGTCCGGGGGACCTGCCGTCTAACACCCCGTGCGTGTTCTTCAGCTGCCGCGCCGTTTCAATCAGCAGCTCGATCCGGTCCGCGCCGTCATAGTTCACACATCCCCGGCACACCGCTTCGCTGAACTCCCACAGCATGGCCCACGGCATCTTGGGCAAATCGCAGAGGTAGCACCACTGCCGTCTGGAGGAGGGCTGCGAGGCGGAGGACATGTTGTTTACAGGCCTGACACTAAACTTTCTTCCCTCGGAGGCCTTCACGCTACAATCAGCTTCCCTCTGCTGCTTCTCAGTACTCGGACACCGAGCTCCACATGCCACGTTTCAGCGGACAGGAAGAGAAAACCAACTGAACCCAGATGTCGGGATTTTGGCGAATAAACTTCACAATTAACAAGGTTTTATTTTTTTTTCGGTCTATTCGCGTCGGTCTGTGTGGAAGGAAGTAAAATGTTACCAGACACCGGAAACACCTACGCTGCTGGAGCGCAAAGCCTTATGGGAAGTGTAGTTTTGGACTGGGCGAGCGGCTTGAGAACAAGATTAGAGTGAAAATGAGTAAAATCGAGCCGTATCAGAAATAAAATAAAACAGAAATGTGAAAAATTATGGAAAGATGATATTAAAAGAAGATGGTTTTATAGAATGAAAGGAAAAGAAGAAATGGAAGACAGAGAATTCAGGAAAGAACTCAATAAAATTGGAAAACACAAATCTGCAGGGGAAGTGAGACAACATTAATCTTTAACTTTAGGAAATATCAAAGTCAAAGATTAGAATTGTTTAGGAGTCTCTTAACAGGAATGGAACAATTTTACATTAGAAGAAGAAAATATATGCCCCTCTACAGGTCCTTCTCAAAATATTGTGATAAAGTTAATTATTTTTCCATAATGCAATGATGAAACTTGAACATTCATATATTTTAGATTCATTGCACACTAACTGAAATATTTCAGGTCTTTTATTGTCTTAATACGGATGATTTTGGAATACAGCTCATGAAAACCCAAAATTCCTATCTCACAAAATTAGCATAATTCATCCGACAAATAAAAGAAAAGTGTTCTTAATACAAAAAAAGTCAACCTTCAAATAATTATGTACAGTTCTGCACTCAATACTTGGTCAGGAATCCTTTTGCAGAAATGACTGCTTCAATGCGGCGTGGCATGGAGGCAATCAGCCTGTGGCACTGCTGAGGTGTCATAGAGGCCCAGGACGCTTCGATAGCGGCCTTTAGCTCATCCACAGTGTTGGGTCCTGTGTCTCTGATCTTTCTCTGCACAATATCCCACAGATTCTCTATGGGGTTCAGGTCAGGAGAGTTGGCAGGCCAATTGAGCACAGTGATAGCATGGTCAGTAAACCATTTCCCAGTGGTTTTGGCACTGTGAACAGGTGCCAGGTCATGCTGAAAAATGAAATCTTCATCTCCATTAAGCTTTTCAG